GAAGAGCAAAAATGAGGAAGAAGAAGATGGTGAGCATAATCATGGTGAAGAGCTTCCCTGTTTGGAGGTCCTGGGAGCCGCACTTGATTTTGAGGAAGAGGATGAGGCTGAATACCAATATGAGGGGTGTTCAAAAGAGGAATTCCAGGACTCCAGTTGTAATGAGGATTATGTGGCAGTTGCTAGAAGAGCAAACAGTATAAGAATCATAGAATCATAAGATCATTATGATTGGAAAAGACCTTCAAGATCATCAAGTCCAACTATAAACACATTCGCCACCCTGCCTGCTAAACCATGTCCATAAGTGCCTCACCTACACATTTCTTGAACACTGCCAGGGACTGTGACTCCACCACTACCCTGGGCAGACTGATCCAATGCTTGACTACTCTTTCTATGTAGAAATTTTTCCTAATTTCTACCCTGGCACAACTTGAAGCAATTTCCTCTTGTTCTATTTTCAGTAGTTATTTTGGAGAAGTGATGGACCCCCACCTCCCTGCAATCTCCAATCAGGTAGTTGTAGAGAATGGCAAGGTCATCCCCGAGGCTCCTCTTCTCCAGACCAGATAATCCCAGCTCCCTTAGTCATTCCTCATAAGGTCTGTGCTCCTGCCCCTTCACCAGCTTCACTGCCCTTCTTTGGACATCACTCCAGCGCCTCAATGTCTTTCTTGCAGAAATGTAGCCCAGCATGTTCAGCAGCAGGGAGATGCACTAGAGCAGGCCATAGATGATGCTAGGCAAGTACTTTGGGCAACGACTTCGGTGTCTGATAATGACCTATTTTTGATAGCAATGCAAGTACCCAAAGTCAGCAGTGGCTACGTTCTGGATGAAATGTTTTCTCCCGATGTGAAAGCCAAGGACCATGCCATTTCCTACTATCCCACAGGCAGATTTGATGAGGCTCTCCATGAACTTCAGGACAGCATATGATGGCTCTGCCTTTTGCACAGTCCCACTGTAATTAGCCCCATGAGTCAGTCTTGAATTGCTTTGAAGGGATCATCATCATGATTTTCATCATCATGAAATATCCAAAATGGAGATTCTTCTCTCTTTTTCTCCTGTGATCAGAGAAATGACAGAGGAGAATTTATTGATTGATACAGTGCTTTTTGAACTTGAGCCTTGTGACCTGGGACAAGTACTTCTCGTGGGGCATGGTTACTGTCGCAAAGGTAGCAACAAGATGCTATATATAGAGGAAAAGGTAAAATCATGCAGAATTTTGGAGAGGTCAAAGCAGGAAGACAGGGTGAGACAATTCAAAAGAGTAAAAAAAGATACAGAAGGAAGCATTGCTTTATATAGACATGGAGGAGCAGTAGGTGGTGAGGGGTAACTAGACAGTGATTGTGTGTGCATGGATATCTATGAGAGAGGATGCTAAAATGAAACACAGCCAACATCCTAAAGCATTAATGATGACAAGCAACTGATGAATCTATCCCAGCAATCCTTCTCTTCCCACTCCAGTGCATTTGAATTGACTGCTCAGAGAAGCTGGGACTTGGTATCAGCTCTCTTATCTTTCTCTTGGTTTCTAATTTATCTCATTGGATCTTATATGAAAAACTGTTTGAGAGGAAGACAATAAAGATCCTTCAGTATGCAGATTCAGTTTCTGTCTTCTGTGGTGTTATAAAGCAGGTGTTGTCAGGAAGGAGTGCTTTCACTGTGCTGAGGAGAAAGGGATGAAAAGAAAAGCAAATGAGAGTGAGGCTCTTTTATGTTGTGAGGCAGTTTGATATTTCTGCTCTACTTCTGTGGTTGCTTTTACAGGAGATGAGGAGAAAATTACCTGCCAGGGATTCCATTTTCAGGGATACTGTGGGAATTTGTGTGCATCTGTGTAAGGCTGTTGTTGTGGTTGTACTCTGGCCAAATGCTGTTATAAAGGAGATGTATAAATGAGCAGTCAGTAGAGATTGCAGGAAGAAATCAGAGTAACTGGACTCTATTTTGCTTTTTCTTTCTTGTAATTTCAGAATCAGCTGGAATGGGATTATTCCAGAGGAGGATTCCCTTCTCCTAATGATTCCTTAAAAATGTATTCCTGTGAAAGGTCAGAATGCAATGTTGACAATTTCTTTCCCAAAAACAAATGGCTTCTATGCTCTGCAAGGGATAGGAAAGGAAGATCAAACACTGGGGCCTTCACACTCTGGGTGCTAGGCCTCAATATTTCTGTTTAGGCATTATCAACCCTGGATGCTTTTGGGCCTCCCTTTCACAGTATGTGTAGAAAGGTGCTTCTTTCTTTCTCTTCTAGATAAGCGGAGTCTCCTCAAACTGCACAGGGCTCTAACAGCATTTGATGACTCATCATTCACCTCTGGCCCCATAGTATTAAAATACTTTAGCAGGTTGACATGAAAGGGACTTTAAAAAATATTAAACACAGCGATTTATTTACAGTAATACAACAGAAACACTGTAGACAAGAAGTATGCTTTTTGTGCACCAGTTACAAAATGAACAGGAAGAGTTTTGTGCATGCTTCAAAATGAGCAGGTGTTGGCTCCAAAAGGACAAATCTCACTCCAACTTCAGGTATCATGTGGTCAAGAAGCAAAGGCCTCTCTCTGCCTCTACAGTCAGGAATTGTCTTTGATTAGATAATTTAGACCTATTTTGTGATATCATGACTTAGGCTGTGATCTAACTTTATCATCTCTCTTACTTCAAAATAATCACAGCTTAAGATCAGACTAAATCTTTTATCTACAGATTCTTGCCTCCAGGAACTTATTTGAAGGGCTTTTTTTTTCTGGATGTGGTATGGATAGGTAACTACTTTTAAGCTTCCACAGCAGGGAAAATAAGCATAGAGTGGTGTTTCTATAATTACTCTTAAGATTCACTGACAAGGCCTACCAAAGCCTGTTTGCACTGTTGTATGTCCTCTGTCCTTTGTGCATGAATTTAAATTGTGGGATATAAGACATCACTTTTCTCTGAGTAGGTACTGAGTAGGTACTTGTATCTGAGTAGATACAAGACTTAATTTTTCAAAAAGGCAGCAGTTTGAAGTTGCTGACCTTCTAGAATATTCTATGTCCTAGCATCTATCCAGAGAGATACTGAGCAATTCAGAAGACAAATATAGCTCACATGCTCTGGGTGTGCTCCACTTTAGGCCAGGCTGTTAATAGTAGTTCATGGTAGGCCAGACTGGTTAACTTAATATTAGTTCAGGGCAGAAAATTCTGCACATGATCCCTTTATCCTTGAATTTCTTTTAGACCACAAGAAATATATTGCAAGCACCTGTCAGATGCCACATCTGAGAATGCTTATCTCTTACCATCAGTGATGGAATGGGTCTACCATGGTGGTTTATATGCAGTCATCACCTTTTACATGCCCAAGATTGGATGAGATGAAAAGGATTTGTTTACACTAAATGCCACATCTTCTTGATGGATATATTTAAGAAACTATCAGGATGGGAAGTTATTTTAACAGTTTATATTCTGTAGTTTTTCATCACTTGATGGCTTCTTCTGAACACAGTAATGCTTAGTCTTTGATACCTTTTTTTTTCTTAGTAACACCCTTCAACACTTTATGTAATAAAGAATATGAGTTTCAGTCTCCCAATGATAAAGTCATTACAAATATCCAAAAGAAAATATTTCTAATGTTTCTGATAAATTGATGACATAGACCAAATCTGAATTAACTCTGTGCATTGCAGACAAATAGCATAAATAATTAAAGAACAGTAGAAATGGAGGTCAGATTTTAGCTTTCAGAGTATGTAAACAGGAAGCAAGAAGCAACCATGGTCATTATTAGGCTGAACCACTGCTTTTTAAGTAGTGCTTTTCAATACTGATAAAAAGGCAATTGCACAGAAAGTAAAGAATACATAATAGAAGAATGCGGCAGCCTCATTTTAGGAGAATATTTGAAGATGAAAAAAACAATGGGAAATCCATAAAGATTCTTAAAGAAAACTACCTGTTTTTTACTTTTTCATCAATTCAGGTTAAAAAGCCTATCATGTTAGATGACAGTATTACATGGTCTGATACTACAACATTTCAAATAATCATATCTAGCATTTCAATGGACTGGGTTTCTGAAGAAGCAGGTGTTAAAAAAGAAGAAGGTGTTAGAAATTGTGGCATTTATTTACTTCTGCTTTGTAAGTTTTTCTGATCATTGAATTTGCACATGTTAGATCAAGAAATTTTAGAGGCCATGGGCTCTTATTGTCTGTCATTTTTAAAGGAAGAAAAGCAATTCAAAGCATACTGTATGAAGATGCAGATACTTTCTCCTCTGCTGGAGGAAACTAAAATAACATAGAGGTCCATTCCTTAACTTTTCTGAAATGCAAAGAAGAGAGAATATGCAGCTCAGCACACACAATTACAAGGTAACCGGTAGGGGTGTAGCCCTGTTTCATAGCATGACAACTCTATGGTATAAAACCCTCCTGGTTAATAGAAGAAAGGAACTTTTAGAACACAAATTGTTCGGCTGTTTGAAATGTTCACATTAGAAAACAAAGAATTCCACAATATAACAGCCACAAAAGGTTGCATGTGTTGTTTAAATACACGTATTAAAAGTAAAGAGACGTGGACATTTCTTCCAGGAATTTTGCTGCTGCTTTCATTAGGAAGAGGTTGTATCCCAGCTTGTCTTCAGAAACCTAAGCTAAAACATGTTTGAGAATGTATGAATATCAGTTTTGTGCTCTGAAAGACAGAGTTATTTGGTGAGCTGAAAACTCTGGATGAGATTCCTTTCTTGAAATGCAGAAGTTTTCTAACCAAATTAATCTTGAGGTAGGAAACTAACTCAGGTCAGATGAATTCTGTGTCAGAGGTGCTTGTTTTTTTTCCACTAATTCCTAGAGGAGCTTAAAGTAACTATTAAAGGGGAGAAATCTACAGTGATGACGTCTAAGGTTAGGGGAGAGGAATTTCACCCAGTATTTCAGATTTCCTTGATTCTGCAAAATGCCAATCTTCAATTCCAGAGTACAGTAATCATATTAGGCATATTAGCAGGGTATTAAGAGGACATAGTCACTGTTTCATGGGTTTCCCGTTCATCTTTGTCATCTGCTGAAACTTCAAAGGCCCTCTGGAAGGCCAGCCTGAGGGTGAGTCGAATCCTCCGATCCCTGTAGCTGCCCACAATGAAGTAAATAACTGGATTGAGGCTGCTATTAACGCAGGACAGCACAAAACCAATCTCTGGAGAGTAGAGGAATTTATAGCCCCAAAAGTCAAAGAGGATCAGGATGCTGAGAGGAACAGCAAAAATGAGGAAAAAGAGGACGGTGAGCATAATCACAGTGAAGAGCCTCCCTGTTTGGAGGTTCTGTGAGCTGCACTTGACTTTGAGAAAGAGGGTGAGACTGAATACCAGCATGAGAGGGGTGCAGAAGAGGAAGTCCAGGACTCCGATGGTGATGAGGAGTACATGGCAGTTGCTAGAGGGGCGAACAGTGCAAGAAATGTACCCCAGTGTGTTTAGCAGAAAGGAGACGCACCAGAGCAGGCCAGAGATGATGCCAGACAAGTGCTTTGGACGATGGCTTCGGCACCAAATGGGACAGAGGACAGACAGGCATCTCTCAATGCTAATGGCTGTCAGGAGATACAAGCCAGTCCCGTACATGAAAAGATCCAGGAAGAGGAATATCCCAAACTGCACGCCCACATTGAACTGCATCAAGTACTGAACAGTTTCAATGGCAATGCAGAGCAGATATCCAAAGTCTGCAGCAGCCAGGTTCAGAATGTAGACAGTGAAGCGATTCCTCCGGATACGGAAGCCAAGGTACCACAGGACCATTCCATTTCCCACCATCCCACAGGCAGAGCTGATGAGGCAGAAGCTCTCCATGAACTTGAGAACAGCATATGATGGCTCTGCCTTTTGCACAGTCCCACTGTAATTAGTCCCATGAGCCAGGCCGGTTGTATTTGGAAGGAAGCTTAATGTAGTTATAGTAGTACTCATAATGAGCGTTTCGCCGTGAAGTAGTGACCTCTCACTCACTCAGATTTCACACAGACCTGTAAGGAGAAAGAAGAGATATGGTAGTTTACATGACTTTCTCTCGTGATCATCTGGTGGGGTTTCCAGTATCTTTCCAGCTCTCTGTAGCCATAAGTAGATTCAGGGAAGGATTGCTGTATTTGTACTTGGAACACAGAGCTTTTATTGCCATTCAGAACACCATATCTGAGGCCAAATTATGTGGCAGATGTAGGAAAAACTAGATTGGAATGTATGTGTATGTTTTTGAATTTATTTCTTGAGCTTTCTTTTAAAGCCACTTATAGGAAACAAAGTAGGTTAAAATAAAGCAATGTTATCTCGGATTGATCCTACCTGAAAACTATCTCAGTTTGTTGTCTTAATAAAAAGGGAGCCTAGTGATATTAGTTCATCTATAATTCCCTTTGCTGCATATAGCTAGGATTAGGTGAGATGAAAATTGTCAAAAGTATATAATAGTAGCAGATATTCAGCATGTGAATTTAAACAGCATTAAATAGGACTGAGTTTCTTCCTATGCACACTCCCAGAAAACACAGTTGAGTAGTCGTAATAACTAGTAGTTTTCATGTGAATAGCTGATTCCTATTTTAATGAAATATAGTTTATTGTGATTGGTTTGGCTTCTTGAGTCTCATGTATAGATAATAATTCAGTGTGACAAAGACTAATTTCTTCCTCAGAAGTTTTAAGAACCATGTATAGCAGAAAGTGTCTGACCCTCATATGACATTGGAATTATGGCTTAAATAATTATTTCACCCCATTGTGTCAATTCACTCTAGTCCCCCTTCCCTACCCCACCTCCCATGGTACTAGAATTTGAATGAGAATTTTGGAAAAAAAGAAAAAAAGAGAAGTCCAGGAATAATTCACTCAAGAAAATTAACCAAGTTTTGTCCGTTGAGATTAAATTGTGTGACTCTTTCATATCTTCCCTGCCAGCTGTTAATTTTGACATGGCAAAATACAGAAGTGCTATGAAAGTAAAAAGATAGGAAAAAAGAAGAGAGAAACAAGTCAAAATAAGGGGAGAATTTAAGTGCAGAATCATGGGATAACCTAACTGGCACAAAATGCCACAGCAGGTGTGGAGGCAGACTACCTGAACAAGTGAAATGGGAGAAATTTAAATATTACAATTTCATTTCAGCAACACACTCTGTCTCCAGCACTACATGGGAAGACCATATAGGTAATGTCCTCACCCAGCTGATAGCTGGGGCAGTGGGATAATTTTGCCTCATGTGTCTTTGACAGGCGCATACACCGGCAATGCTTGGGTGAGAATCCAAGTGGGGCCACTACATATGTATTGAAAATACAAACACCTCATTACACTTAGCTTTCAAAGCTACTACTAGAATTAATGGAGGATTAGGAAAACCTGCAAGGCAAGTATATTTTACCCTAAGATAGGAGTCTAAGGTGTGCACTGTCACCTGCCTGTCTTTGCTGACTGTGGACACATCTCATTGTGCTAGCAGATGGTTTACATCTGGATGGCTAAAGAGAAGTGAGGTGAATTTCACCCTTAATTTCATCACTGCAGCTCGCAGGATATTAGTCTTTTTGAGTTAATGGAAGCCAGGAACTTCTGACACTAGAGAGAGAGACACTAGAGAGCTAGAAGATTCCACCCTAAGCCATTGCGGAAGCCTCCCCTCATAGGAGAGATGCTCTGGGCCTCTAATCATCTTTGCTGCTCTATGCTGGACTCTCTCCAGTATCTCCATGTCCCACTTGTGCTGGGAAGCTCAGAACTGGTCATAGCACTCCAGATACTGTTTCAACAGGGCTTAATAGAAGGGCAGGATCATCTCCCTCGACCTGCTGACAACACTCTTCCTAATACAACCCAGGATACCATTGGCCTTCTTGGCTACAAGGGCATACTTCTGGCTCATGGCTAACTCATCCACCAGGACTCCCAGGTCCTTCTATGCAGAGCTGCTCTCTCCAGTAGGTCAGCTCCCAGCTAGTCATAGTGCACTGGGGTTATTCCTCCCTAGGTGCAGGGCCCTGCGCTTGACCTTCTTGAACTTCATGAGGTTTCTCTCCACCCATCTCTCCAGCCTGTCCAGGTCCCTCTGAACGGCAGCACAGCCCTCTCATGTATCAGGTACTCCTCACAGGTTTGTATCATCAGCAAACTTGTTGAAGTTGCACTCTATCCTTATATGCAGGTCATGAATGAATAAGTTGAATGTCAGAGAATCACAGAATCGTTATGGTTGGAAAAGACCTTCAAGATCATTAAGTCCAACCGTAAATGCATACCCTGCCTGCTTAACCATGTCCCTAAGTGCCTCATCTATATGTTTCTTGAACACTGCCGCGTATGATGATTCCACCACTTCCTTGGGCAGACTGATCCAATGTTTATGCATAGAAAATTTTCCTAATATCTAACTTGAACCTCTCCGGCTGCAACTTGAGAACATTCTCTCTTGTCCTATTTTTGATAGTTATTTTGGAGACGAAATCTACCCCCACCTCACTACAACCTCCTTTCAGGTAGTTGTAGAGAGTGATAAGATCACTCCTGAGCCTACTCTTCTCCTGACTAAATAACACCAGCTTCCTTGGTTATTCCTCATAAGGTCTGTGCTCCAGCCCCTTCACCAGCTTCGTTGACCTTCTTTGGACACATTCCAGCAGTTCAATGTCTCTCTTGTAGTGAGGAGCCCAAAACTGAACACAGTATTCAAGGTGCAGCCTCACCAGTGCATAGAGTACAGAGGAACAATTACTACCCTAGTCCTGCCAGTTACACTGTTCCTGAAACAAGCCAGGTTGCCATTGGCCTTCTTGGCCACTTGGGCACACTGCTGACTCATGTTCAGCTGGCTGTCAATCAACAACCCCAGATCCCTTTTTGTCACACAGCTGTCCAGCCACTCTGCCCCAAGTCTCTAGCATTACATGCAGTTGTTCTAATCGAAATGCAGGACCTGGCACTTGGCCATGTTGAACCTCATACAGTTGGTCCTAACCCATTGATCCAGCCTGTCTAGATCCCTTCCTACCCTCAAGCAGATCAGTTGTTCCTCCCATTCTAGTGTCATCTGCAAATTTGCTGAGGGTGCACTCATTCCCATCATTCAGATTATCAATAAAGATAATTAGGTTTCTAACTTTGTCATTTTAGTCATATTTCATGATGCTAAATAACGTGATCCTGGGCCACTGACAGTGTACTGTCATGTACTGTCATACTAGTTGTAATGGATGACCTGTTGATATATACCCAGTCATCAAAAATTTTGCATTGCATATAATGCAAGTGAAGTAACCATCCTATGACTTCCACAGACCATTCAAAAGAATACTGAAAAGTCACTCACAGTTCTCATACATCTATTATAAGACTTTGGTAAGGCTAATCTTGTACACCCAAAGCATATTCAAAACCTGAATCTGCTTCCTTAACTAAACTAATTAATGAAAGTGTGCATCAAATAGCAGCAGACTGAATCAGCTGGTCTTTCTGTCCTGCAGGTTACATGCTGAGTACAGTATAGTTCTCGTGGCAGTTATTAGTCTGAACAAACTTGGCACAACAAGACATCTTATTGTCCAAATATGGAGTTGTGTTTTCTCAGGTAATCATAACTTGTCATCTAAGTCCCAAACTACACTTGATCTATGAAGAATGCCACCTTATGTTACAGATGTGTATTTATGGCAATGCAATAGCATTTCTGCTTGAAAAAAAAAGTTCCTTAGAATGAAGATCACCTTATCGTGAAGATGATCAAGACCACTGTGTACCTATAGCCAATTTCTAACCTGTAGAAGAAGAAAATGTTTGATCTGCTTTCCCCCAACTATTTTTTTATCCTCCCTTCCCCTCACCATATCTCCAAAAGCATAGCAGAAAGCAACAGACAGAGACACCATTGCACCCATGCAGAAATTTCTCACCTTCCTGTGGGTTCTGTGGTATTTCAATGACTATTTGCAGCAACTGCCTGCTGTAGATCTGCTGGTAAAAATTGTCACCTGAATTCTGTGACGGATGGTCCGGATAAGATCCTTGTACTGTAAAATAAAATCCTGGTGCTGAGCTATTTAGATACTGTTGAAAAAGCCACAACCACTTCAGTGTGACGTCTTGAGAAACAGCCAGCCAGTCACTCTCTGGGGGAAATATCTAGTTTGTTGCATGAGGCCACTCAGATTTCAGCCACTTCCCCCTTCCCTTCCAGCACAGAACCTTTCACTGTCTTATCTTATGAAATACTTTCTCGCTACTTCTGCTTCAAACTAGTCTCATGGTATAAAGGACACAAGAACAAGTCCAAAGATATACCTTGACTCTTACACTGATTCTTTGCTTCCCAGGTACATCCATGAGCTGCTCTAGTTTCAGAGACCTTGCAGAAGATGCTCTACTTCTGCTGAGGGACTGAGAAATTGGCAGTCCTCTTCCATAATGCTTGCTGCTGATTTCACAACCTCCTCAACACAGCTTCTCATTCCCTGAGGGTCTACTGTCAGTGGAGAACCTCCCTTAGCACATTCATCCCTACAGGGTGTGATGACCTCAAAGCCTCTCCTAACACAAATTGTCACCATATATTGTCTCCTACTACTTCACACAACCTGTCCTACAATAGGGGCCACTTTCTGCAGTCAAACTTATGATGCCTCAGCAGACACAATTTTGCAACTTCTCGTAGTGTTACCCTTCAATACATAATGTCCCACTTCTGATGTCACAAGGTCTTTCAACACAAAACCCATAGTATTCCCTGCCACTTTATACTATCTTTCAGCACAATCCCTCACCACAGCATCTCAGGCGCTCCTATTTCACAAACTCCATGAAGACAACCGCTGGCTATGTTGCATCCATTTCAAGTTCCACAACTTCCTTCCATGCTTTGCCTTGTCCCCATCCTGCCCATCATTGAAAGCTTATTCATCATGGCTCTGTGAACAAAATCCCTTGC